TTTGATAGCTGAATAGTATTTCATGGTGTATATATACTACATTTTCATTATCCACTGATTGAGGAATGGACATTTGGGTTGATTCCACATCTTTGCAATTGTGAATTGTGCTGCGATGAACATGTGAGTGCAGGTGTCTTTTTAATATAATGACCTTTGTTCCTCTGGGTAGATACCTAGTAATATGATTGCCGGATCAAACATAGATCTGCTTTTAGTTGCTTGAGAAATCTCCATACTTCTTTTCATAGAGGTTGTGCTAATTTACACTTCCACCAACAGTGTAGAATTGTTCCCTTTTCTCCCATCATGCCATAGCCTATTATTTTTTAATTTTTTTAATAATGGCCAACCTGACTGGTATAAGGTGGTATCTCATTGTGGTTTTAATTTGCATTCCCTGACAATGAGTAATATTGAGCATTTTTGCATATGTTTGTTGGCCATTTGTATATCTTCTTTTGAGAGATGTCTGTTCATGTCATTTGCTCACCTTTTGATGGGGTTATTTGCTTTTTTCTTGCTGATTTGTTTGAGGTCTTTGTAGATTCTGGATATTAGTCCTTTGCCAGATGTATAGTTTGCAAATATCTTCCCCTATTCTGTAGTTTGCCTATATGCTCTGTTGATGATTTCTTTTGCTGTGCAGAAGCTTTTTGGCTTAATTAAGTCCCACTTGTTTATTTTTATTTTTGTTGCATTTGTTCTTGGGGGTTTAACCATAAGTTCTTTTCCTAGGCTGATGTTCAGAAAAGTTTTTCCTTGTTTTTCTTCAGGGATTTTTATGGTGTCAGGTCTGACACTTAAGTCTTTAATCCATCTTGAGTTAATTTTTGGATATGGGGAGAGATGGGACTCAAGTTTCTATCTAATTTCCCTAGCACCATATGTTGAATAGGGTGTCCCTTCCCCAGTGTTTGTTTTTGTTCCCCTTGTCAAAGATCAGTTTGTTGCAGGTGTTTGGGCTTATTCCGGATTCTCTATTTTGTTCCATTGATTCATGAATCTGCTGTTGTATCACTACCATTGATATTATGATTACTATAGTCTTGTAGTATAGTTTGAAGTCAGGTAATGTAATGCCTCCAGCTTTCTTCTTTTTGCTTAGGATTGCTTGGCTATTGTGACTCTTTTTTTGGTTTCATATGAATTTTAGGATTGTTTATTCTAATTCTGTAAAAATGACATTTGAGTTGTTTGTAGATTACTTTGGGTAATGTGGTCATTTTAACCCAATGTTGATTCTTCCAATCCATGAGCATAGGATGTTTTTCCATTTGTTTATGTCTTCTACATTTCTTTCATCAGGGTTTTGTAGTTATCAATATGGAAATCTTTTGCCTCCTTGGTTAAATATGTACCTAGGTATTTTAGCTTTTTGGCTATTGTAAATGGAATTGAGTTTCTCAATTTGATTCTCAGCTTGGTCACTATTGGTGTACAGCGGTGCTACTGATTTGTGTGGGTTGATTTTGTATCCTGAAACTTTACTGAATTCATTTATCAAGTTCTGGAGTCTCTTGGAGAAGTCTTTAGGATTTTCTAGTTATAAGATCTTATTGTAGGCATATAGAGAGAGTTTGATTTCCTCTTTTCCTTTTTGGATATGCTTTATTTCTTTTTCTTGCCTGATTGTTCTGTAGTTTCCAAGTTTCTGAGAAGGGGTTGGTGCCATAGTTATGCCCAGTAATGACCAAAGACTGCATGTTTCCAGATCACTGTGAACTTTTTCTCTTTGCTCTTGAAGAATTTAAATGTCTGCTGAATGTTGAGATGACATTGTCAAGGGAGATGGAAATGGTTCCTTCTTGCCTTTGTGTGACTTTGAGTTGCTCACTTCATTCTTGGTCTAGCTCATTACAAACCTCCCACTTAGCACATTCTTGTAAACTGTCTTCATTTTTCCTTAAAGGATTTAGAGTTATGTGTTTTAGTTTCCTTCAGTTATACCATAAAGCCCCATGAGCAATGTTTTATAGCTTCATTTTTCTTGTTTCCTATTGAGGTATCTAAAGCAGGTTTAGGTATCTAGAAGGGTCTGGTAACTAGTTGTAGATTGAGTAGATGTGCATTAACATGATCATCCTTTCATTTATCATCATCATCATTGTCATCATCATCATCATCATCATCATCCCTATTTCTTTTGCCTTGTCCTAGACAAGAGTAGTAGTGCATTCCATCACCAGTCTTCTGACACCAGTTGGCTGACTGTTCTGTGATTCAATGCAAGTAAGACACGAACTGCTTGAATTGATGCAGGTCCTACAAGTTAAAGAGAAAGACCCTTAACAAGTCTATCTTTACTTCAGACAGTAGCCACAGGTGGGGCTCCCAGGCTACCCATGCCTCTGTCCAACTTGGCTACCAACTGGGGGGTTCCCATAACTCCTGTTCAGGTTCCATAATTTGCAGGAATGACTCACAGAACTCAGAAAAGTTCTATACTCACAATCACCATTTTATTACAGAGAACACAAATGAAGAGTCAGATTAAAAGATATATAGTGTGGCAAAATTTGGAAGGGTCTGGAACTGAAATGAATCTTAGAAAGCTTAGGAGATTTTGTCTCTGTGGACTTGGGGTGTTCCACCTTCCTGATACATTGGATTGCTCAGCAACCAGGAAGCTCCCCAAGCCTCATTGTCCAGAGTTTTATTGGGGTCCCACTACATTGGCATGATTAAGTCACTGACCATATGATTGAACTCAATGGGCAGCCCCTCTTCTCCTTGAAGATTGGGGGATAAAACTGAAACCTCCAATACTCTAATTACATGCTTAGTCTTTCTGGCTTGGCCAACTCCTCCCTTGAATCTATATAAAGGTCCACTGTGAGTGAGTCAACTTGTTAGCATAAACTCATGATTGAAAGAGGCTCATTATAAATACAGAGACTCCTGTCAAAAAATTCCAAAGCTTTTGGAAACTCTGTGCCAGGAACTGGGCACAGAGGCCAGATCTGTTCTATATTGTACCATAGTTGGTATATGCAGTAGGAATACAATTTTAATTGGGAGGTATGTGATGTTTAAACCTTTAGTCTTTCAAGTCTCTTTGATGCTGAAGCCCAAAGAAAAGTCTTTCGATTTGACATGAAGATACTCCTCGGTGGAGAGAAAAAGGCAGTCTCAGACGGAAAAGAATACAGACTCATATGGATAAGGCAACAATGATCAGTCAAGTCTTTGGAGACTTTGAAGGTCTAACAAATGGGCTGACTGGCAGCCAGTTTAGGAGACCTCTATGTCAGCGGGAATGGGAAGAGTTTTTTATACAGAAGAAAGAGATAGGAAGTGAATGAGTTGGAAGATTCTGAGACCAAGATCATGGAGTCATGGGGGCCAAGCAAAAGGCTTCATTTTCCACACTCGAAGATCATTTTTAAGACTTGAAGGAAAAAGGAGGAGCTAACTGGAAAAATGCAGAAAAGATACAGGTTGACAGAAATATGATCCACTAAAACTAGATGAGAGCAAAAGGTAGGACATGCACAGAGAGGAAGTTCATCAAGGCAAAACTTTATGAAGGACTCTGCAGTCTTGATTTTAGGCGGAGTCTAAAGTGAGGGAGGGAGTAGCAGGAACATCGCCGGAAGAGTGGATCTGGGTTACTGGTGAATTGAGTCTTCAAAAGTAATTACCAGATGACCTCGAGAAGCTTCTTCTAGCATTATTATTCCAGGATTGTACGTCTTCTGAATGAAAGCATCTCAATGATGGACACAGCCTTCTGGTGTCTGCACCAACTAGAAACACATGTGGGAGGACAATGATTCCTAAGCAGGTGCAACCACTAGGTAAAAGAGCCAGAAATATAAAAAAAGAAGGAACTGTATCTGGGAAGGCCACTATTGCCAGAGACACATTTTTGGTAGTGCAGATCTTAGTAACTAGAGCTGACTCCAGGGTTGGAGTAGAAGATTCCTTTACAGCAGGGGTTCTCACCTGAGGGCAATTTTGCTCTCCGAGGACACTTAACATGTTCCAAGCCTTTTTTTTTTTTTTTTAGTCGGATCTCAGTCTGTCTCCCTGGAGGTGTGCAGTGACACTATCAATTATGCCCGGCTAATTTTTTATTTTTATTATTGTAAAGATGAGGTCTTGGTATGTTGCCTGGGTTGCTCTCAAAGTCCTGGAGTCAGGTAATGCTCCTGCCTTGGCCTCCTAAAGTGCTGTGATTACAGGCATGAGCCACCATGCCCGGCCCTCATCATGTTTTCAGTTGTCACAATTGGGTAGAATCTAGTGAGTAGAGACGAGGGATGGTTGCTCCACATCCTACAGTGCACAGGACAGTCCCCTAAAAAAGAATGATCTGGCCCCAAAGGTTGACAGTAACAAGGTTGAGGGAAACTGCTTTACAGAAAGAACCTGGTGGAAGTATATTCTAGGGGATGCACCAAGTGTAGCTTGGTAGGAGGGAGGTTTTGGCGAGGTGTGGCAACACCCTTGGGAGACTGACCCAACCCACATCCAGTTGTCTTCACTCCCCTTTTTTGTAGCCACCTTTGAGTAGATACACAACAGTTCTGGGCAATGAAGTGGAAGAGAATTTGCTAGATGAAGCTACTAAGAACATGTCTGGATTCTTGGTCCTTGGGTATCTTCCCCCTTTCTGTTCTTCCTGCCTGGATCATGAACCTGCAATCTAGTGGTACAATCACTACTTTCAGGGCCACAAGTACTAGAATTAACAGTTAAAGAAGGTGGAGCCAAAAGTCAAAGTCAGAATGAGCTGTGATCCCCAAGGGACACTTAACAATGTCTGAAGACATTTTTGGCTGTCACGCTGGGGAAAAGAGGGCTATTGGAAGTGGGTAGAGACCAGGCATGCTGCCCAGCACCCTATGGTGTGTCAGTCTGGCATTTCATGCCTCAAAATTACTTGTAAAGGGGGCTTGGAGGACCAACTGCTTAAGTTTCTGGAAGTTGAGTTTTCTGCTATGTGTGGCTGATTCACTCCCAAGTCACTACCACTGTAGCTGTTTGATTGGATCAGAGGACGATCTCCAGATCCCACCTCCCTCAGATGACTCTTGCTGGCACTTTCCACGGCTGCACTGGGTTTCCACTCCCATCCTTGAAGCAGAGAGAGGACAGCCATTCCTTGACTTCTTTGGCCAGAAGATGCCAACACCAACGGTCCCCTCCACCCACATCACCAGTAGGTTCCGCTGGGTCCAAGATCACAGGCCTGAAGGAGAGTTAGAAAGCATTAGGGGATTCCAAAGCCGGTGACTTCCAATTTGGGGCCCATCCTACTCCCATCAACAAAACAATGTGTTCTTACAGCTTAGATGTCAGTAAATCAAGCATATGAATGTTGTTCAAAGTGAATCCCTAGAATTAAATTATATTTGTCAAAAATATTCTGAAGGTTGTTAATCACTATATACATGAAGGCACAATGTAAATCTTTCCTCCCTGCCAGGTCGACCGAAAGATGAGGAATAATTTAATCAAGTACAATGTGGCCAGCTGCCCACGGCAGGCAAACCACAGTATCTTGTCCTCTGTTACTTCTCTATTCTTTCTCAGTGCTTCTTTATTTTCCCTCTTTTCTCTGGCTTCCACTGTCTTTGTCCCTTACTGGTGGCCCTGAGAGGATGCACTAGGGTTTCTTACTATATATTTTTTTCTTTTCCAGCTGGTATCTCATACTGTCACCCAGGCTGGAGTGCAGTGGCACAATCACGTCTCAGTGCAGCCTTGACTTCTAGGCTCAGGTGGTCCTTCTACCTCAGCCTCCTGAGAAGCTGGGTTGGTAGGCACATGCAACCATACCCAGCATCCTCCTACGCCTTCCCTCAAAGTGCTGGCATTACCAGTGCAAGTCACCATGCCTGGCCTCCTTGCTATTCTTGAAGGCCAAAAATAGTAGATAAACCCTAATCTAATAAATATTTTGCAGGAAAAATTGGTCCATGAATGATTTTCAGGGACACAATTTCAGCTCAAAGACCTCTTACACCTGCTAACAAATGTATGTGTTTCTTTCTGAGTGTGTGTCTCCATGCCTCCTTCCCTCTTTCTTCTGGACAGCATTTTCTCCTACCTCAGGATCTTATCACTGGAGACCAAGGGACTCTGCTTGGTATCACTGTCTCCCTTTCTCAACAGAAATGGATCAAACCCCAGGGGAGGAGAACCTAGGACTCTGAAGTAGCACAGAGGGGTATTGGGGAAAGAACAGGATGGGGCTGGGGTGAGGGCACCTGGTTTTCTGGATCTGACTCAGCAAGAAATTCCTCAGAGTCTCATCTTCAAAGTTGTAATTGACAGTCCAGAAGATGCAGAGCTGCCGATACTGTGCGACCAACTCCAGGACTGTCCGGAAACCTTCCGCAGTGTCAAAATCCTCGGTCCCACTCCCCTGCTCCCAGGCATAGACAGTGAGCAGCTCCAAGGCATACTTTGGGGGCAAAGAGCCCTTCAGTTTATTTTCACACTGAGGGAAGAATGGGACTATCAGATGACACCGGAACAAGGAATTCAACAAGAGTCACAGTGGGGCAGCTGTGTCACAATGCCATGCTGGCGGGCTGTCACTCTGCAACTTGGGTGTCTAAACAGTGTAGGTTCACAGGAGCTTAGCTGGTCAATGGGAAGCAAAACACATGGGCTTCTCATTTGTGTGCCTTCCTAGGATCATGATACAGCTATGGCTCCCTAGAAACTCACTGCATGCTGATCCTGGGTTCAGGCATTTACCTACACTATGCCTAATTCTCCCAACAATACAGGAGTCATGACCTCCACTTGAGGTCTGGGCAAGTGAGTGACTCACTCAGTGTCCCACCACAGCCCTAAGCCCTCTGAGTAGACATACTCTGCCAACTCTCTGATCTTTAGGAATGAAAATTGCAGAGCCCAGTCTCAGTCTTACGCTACAGGGAGCAGGACACAGAAACAAGATGTCTCAGGAAGGGCTGATACTGTGCCTGATGTTCATCACCTCAAAATACTCAGAACCTACCTTGTGTGCAAAGCGGTTGACACAAGTGTAGACTGGCTAATCATTCTGAAAGTCAGCCCAGTTCCACCTGTAGCTTCAACCTGCCTCCCAAGAGACAATCCTGGCACCAAGCCCTAGCTGGCCACACTGGCATTTTGTTGACATGCAAGTCCCAATCTGCAGGTGGGATAACTTGGGTTTCTACAGAATTACTTGACCAGTGTGAGGGCAAAACAAACCACGTGTAGCAGCTTTGGTGGCAAGAGGTGGTCTACACATGACCCAAATGAATGGGATGAGGTATGGGAACCCCGCAAAAATACCCAGAGGGCAGATTTCCTAGAAGGGCTCAGCCTTCAGCATGGGAAAATAGGGGCAACGGGGCACTTGGTAAGTGCTGGCTTAATGGTGAGAACTTACTGGTAAAAATAATAACCAGATAGTCAGAACAAGAGCTGTTGTACCTGTTTGTACCAGTGCTTCACCAGGCGAATTAAATTCTTCAGTTTCGTGGGCCGGAAGCAAATGAAGTTTCGCTGCAGCAGTGTGAAACAGGAGGAAAACTCTCTCCCCAGGATGTCTGAGGATTTATAGAGCTCAATGAGCTCAGCATAGACCTCCGGGTTGGGTTTCCAGCCAGAATTCCACTTACCTAGCATGAGGGAGACAGCAACATTATATCTTAATAAGCATAGTAAGTCACAGATTTCAAAACACTTTTGACAAACATAATCTAATTCTGGGAAACTACTTTGAATGATGTTATTGTATTTCAATGACTGATGTCTGTGATATAGATAGCATCTCCAGAGTAAGGAGTTTTTGAAAAAGTTACATGGTCTTCACAAGTCCAGGTGGTATTATTAAAGTATTGTCTAGACCTGCACTGTCAACATAGTAGCCACCAGCCAATGTGGTCATTTGTACTTAATGAAAAGAAGAGAAAAGATAAAATTTAGTTCCTCAGTTGCACTACCCACATGTTGAGCTCTCAGTAGATACAGAAAACAGACATAGAGCATTTTTATGATCACAGAAAGACCTTTGGGACAGGACCAGTCTGGAGTTTGCAAACTATGGACTCTGGGCTAAATCTGGCCTACTGTTTGTTTTTATAAATAAAGTTTTCTTGCAATGCAGTCACACTCACTTGTGAAGGTATCATGCATGACTGCTTTCATGTTCCAACAGCAGAGTTGAGTAGCTGCAGCAGATGCTATATGGTCCTCAAAGCTGAAAATATTTGCTATCTTGCCTTTTCCAAAAAATGTTTGCCTACTCCCATTTTATACTCTTATTCCTTTTCTGGGAATCATTCAGAGGAAGGTACTAGAGTCTTGATGAATTTGAGTTGGAAAATGCCTGAAATAGCCTTGTTTCTCTTAATAACCATGATTTATCTGTCACTCAGGAGTTGAATTTCTAAAGATTTCCTCCCAGAATTGAAGGTGAACACCCATTTTCCTGTTTCTCCCACATTTTGTTATTTAATTTTCTTCACCATATTTGAGGCATTTCATCTGTCTGTGTATTTTATGTGTATGGAACCCTGTGTACCCCATTCTTTGACAGGCATTGTGGATAATACTGGGGGAGTATAAGATGTAGCTCCCGTGTTCGTAGGACACGTAAATGGGAAATAAGACCAAGATCGTATATACGCATAAAGTATTACTGCCATTATTACTGCTGCTGGCTTGGGGGTACTGACCCATGAGTGTTGTAGATTTTCACAACCCAATACTATGTCATGTGGCTTCTAGAAGCTAGGTCTGGGGAATCTCACCTAGAGCATTAAAGGCTGGCAGCACGTCAAAGTCAATACTTTGCTTGAGTTTTTTGGATTTCAGGGAGAAGCTCAGCACCCCGGGAGCCTCCCATTTTGAAATCTTAATCTTGACTTCACACTTCTCCCGCTCGTAGGTTTCCAGCTGTTTGTGAATCTCCTTGATAATTTCTAAGCACTTGTGTTTGTGGGAGGTGTAGCTTTCAAGAGAGTCGTGGAACACAATGAGGTCGACATTGGAGCCAGTCTTCAGTACGGTGCCCTTGGCAATTGAACCTCCCTGGAGGAGAAAAGAAAGGTTGCAATGCATCATTTGCTAGACTGAGAACCCCGTACCCCCAAGGGCTGACACCAGGCAGGCTAGTGAATGAGGTTTCCAAGGCCAAGTTCTGCGTTAGGGTCCTGTGAGGGCAGAGTCAAAGCAGAGTGTTTTCGTTTTACAATCTATTAGGAAATATGGTTTCAAAGGCAATTATTCTCCCACCCTTTGCTCACAACCCGCGATGGGCTAGTTACACGTTATCTGATGCTTTAGTCAATTTTCTAAACGTTTCACCTAAAGAAATATTTAGCTTTATCTGGATTGCCAGAACCTGAAAGAAATCAAGCTGAATGCAGTGACTATGGGGCAAATGCTCATCTGATCCTGATGTGTCAGGTGTCTCCTGCAGTCAGGGATCATTGCATGAATTTTCAGGACTAAGGTACAGGGGTTGGCCAGCTTTCTGTAAAGGGCAAGGCAGTAATATTTTAGGCTTTTTGGGTTATGTCTCTGCCATGTAGTCATCTCCATTTCCTCCCTTCTCCACCTCCTCCTTCTCCTCCTCTTCCTCCTTTCTCTTCTTCTTCCTTCTCCTCTTCCCCTTCTCCTTTTCTTCCTTCCTTTTCTCTTCCTCTTCTATTCCTCCTGTTCCATTTCCCAAGTGCAGATCCTAAACTCATCCCTGTCCCAGCCCACTTCATTCATGCAGCCCTCTCGTCTTCCTCTCCAGGATTCGGGTTTCCATGACCTCTCCTGGGCTGCAGGCCCCTCCTCACAAGCTCTAAGTGGCATCTTCTCCTCTGCCTTGGCAATTGCTATCCATTGACAGCTCTCTTCCTCTCTTTGATGTGTCACATGCCTTTTTTTTTAACCTACTACCATGTTAATGGAGTCTCAGGAAGGAAAGGAAAAAATGCAGGTTGACAGTGTTAGCGTTGATCACAAACTCAGTCTTGTCTTCACTTCAGTGAACTTCAGTTAGGTGAGTTAGGTGGCTTGCTCATGGCTCAGGGCTCATTGCTGTTTTTCACTCTCCTCCCAGGGCAGCACCCAGAAAGTTCTGTTTCTGCATCACTACAGATGTTCATGCAGATGTATTTCTGTCTCCCCCCTACCATGGGCACATGCGTATCTGGTTGTGTGACCAGCAGAGGGAAGCGTGTCAGCTGTGGCCTTTGAGCCATGGACAAGAACAACTCCAATCCTCTGAATCTTTAACTCAGCTGATGGAGCATATTGGGCCTCAGTCATTGAAACACAGAGTACACACCAAGCTAAGCATCTGCAGTTGGTTAGGTACCCCTCAAAAAAGTTATGTCCTTTGGGATTCTGTGGATGTGCCCTTATTTGGAACAAAGGGTCTTTGCAGATGCAATTAAGTTTCTGGAGATGAGGTCATTCTGGATTAGGCTGGACCCTGAATCAAATGACAAGTGTCCTTAGAAGAGGAGGGGAGAAGATGCAGAGAGAAGGTGACCTGAGAGGCAGCGTAGGGAATGATGTGTCTCCAGGCCCCAAGCACCAAGGATGGCCAGAAGTGCCAGGAGGCGAACACAGAATAAAAAGCATACTGTCAATGGCACAGTCTACCCATAGCCCCCACTGAAAACCTGTGTCCTAGTCTCCAGACTCCCCAACTTCCCTTCCTCAAGTTTCCAAAAGTAGATGGGTCCTGGAGAGTGGCAGTGCCCATGGAGTTCCCTTCCAGGCTTACCCAGTGTGACATCATTCCTGTAAGAAGCAAGAGAAGGATCAGTGCTCACCTGGACGATCTGGATCTTGTTGGGTGAATGTTGAAAGCATTTTTTTGTAAGGAATGCACAGATGGCTTCAACAGCATTGTTGATCTCAGCTAGGGAGCGCTTGTTAGGCTGGAGGAAGTCCTCGATGAATTTAATTAGATGTTCACCCTTAGTTGTGAAGAGCGGTGAAGGCTAGGGAAAGGCAAAAGACCCTTAGCACTGACCAGCTTCTTCCTGACTATAGGAGACTTCCTTTCCTGCCTTCTCTGGGCCCTCTGTCCTGCCCCTCCCTCCATCCACTTCCTGTCTTTGGTCCTTCCACTGACATACCCTAAGAACATACCTGAGAATTTAGGGTGGTATCCAGGGTCCCAAGAAACAAAAACTCTTCTGGTTGTCCCTCCTCCCCGTCCACCCCCGGTCTGGACTCTTCTCCAGACAGGTCTTCTGTGCCCCTAACTCCAGATGGCTCCGAGGTTCCCCTTCCAGTTGGGGCATCACCTGGGAATGGCTGGTGCTCTTTTGCTTTCCCTGCTCCTCAGTTCTTCATTAGTTTCCCGTTTACTGGTCTACAGATTTCTGATGGTCGTGGCCACTCCTCCTTTTTTGAGGTCATATTAGTGTTTTCAAACACATTGTACTTAGGTATATTCATTTCCAGGGCTGCATGCCAAGTTACCACAAGTGGGTGGCTTATGACAACAGAAGTTTATTCTTCCACTGTCCTGGAGGCCAGGTATGCGAGGCCAAGGTGTGGGCAGGGCCATGCTTCCTCTGGAGATAATGTTGGAAGGGTCTGGAGTGGGGAGATTCTGAACTAGCCAGATTGGCCCATGGCAGGGACAAGAGTCCATGGGACAGGCAGGCAGGTAGTCAGAGTTGGAGAAGGGGGTGGGAGATGGAAGCAGTGGAGCTGGAAGAAGATGTGGCTTTGGAGAGGGAGACAGAGGCCATGAGTCAAGGAATCTGGGTGGCCTGAAGAAGCTTGAAAAGCCAAGGAAACACAAACTCCCCAGAGCCCTGGATACCTGAGGTCAACCCAGGGAGACCAGTTTCAGAATGCTGTAAGTTGATGAGTTTGTGTTGCTTCAAGTCATAAACCTGGGGTTTTTTTTAAGCAGTTGTAAGAGAAGACAAACACTGTTCTGTCAGATGATGTCCTTTTACTGGTGACTCAGACTAGTTGGGCCTGCTCACCTGAGGGTGGGGAGGGGAGATCAGCTTGGAAGTTAAAGGTCAACTATGCTTGATTCCAGATGTTAGGTGTGGGCCTCACAGTGCAGAGGAAAGTGCCCTGTTGAAGGCAAGTTCATTGCCAGCACTGCCCATCCCACAGGACAGAATACTTGTGGTGTGTGAATGTGTGCATGTGTGTGCATGGGCATTGTGTGCATGTGTGAGTGTGTGTGTGTATGTGTGTGTGAGTGCATGTGCTTGCGTGTGTGTGTGTGTGTGTGTGTGTGTGTGAATGTGAGCCCTGCAGTGCTCAGATTCCCTTCCGCAGTGGTTTCTGGGTCTAAATTATGTCAACAGCCGTAGAGAGAGGCGTGGCCTTATAGTTTTGGAAACAGAGGTTGATGGGGGTAGCAAAACAAAACAGTCAAAGCCGGTAGCAAAAGATAGTATAGGAGAGACTTGGAACAAAATGCCACGTATGTCCCTGGATTGGAAAGGGATGTCTTAGGAAGGACGTTCTTGGGATGCTTGTGAAGCTCTGAAAAATGACTCTAGTCATACAAAAATACATAAGTCCTAACCTTCTGAAATACATAAGTCCTAACCTTCTGAATTTGACCATGGCATGTGTTTATCAAAGACAATGTCCTTGTTCTCAAAGATCCTGCAGAAGCAACCAGGGGTAACAAGATGTCTGGCATCCCACTCTCAAGAGGCTTAGCATGAAAAACAACTAATGTGTAAACCCTCAGACTGTAACATAGCAAGTGTGGTAAATGTTACCCATTTGAGCATCTATTTGAAGGGCACTCAGGAGTTTGTTGAAACATGTGTGTCACTTTTTTGTAGGTTTGAAAACTTTTCAGAATAAAATGTTGGGGGAAAATTTTTTTTGAAAAAAGTTGTCTGAGGAAGCCAGGACAATTGAGACCAGGAAACAAAGACTGGGAGCCCAGTGAAAGTGGGGATGGGGAGAGGGGACACAGGAGTGACTTGTTCAGTGCATCTTGGTCCTTCTGGATCCAACTAGGGAATTTCCTCATCCACAGACTCCTTCACCTCCAGGTCCCAAGAGCTCACTCATAGCTCCATTTATAGCCCGTGTTTTGTTCAGTTTCCCTCCAAATTCTGTGCAAATGGAACGTAGACCCCCATCTCCCATAATTTGGATATAAACTCGTTCTTTGTGAAATGTGGAATTTGGTTGGCCCCTTGTTGACCCCTGTGAGTCTCAGGAAAGTCAGAAGACTCTGGTCTCACCCGAGGAGGCTCCTCTTGGGTCACCCTCTGTAATAATATGAGAAGGTATAGGGGAATTCCATGCTAGAGATTCTTCTCCTTTGGGGGATGGGGGCGGAAAGTCAATGTATCTATTTCATGGCTGGCATTTCAGTTGGCTCCTCTGTTTCTGCCCCTGGTCTTCCTCCTGGGGCTGCACCTGCCTGTGTGGAGCCAAGCTGTCCTGGCACCCGCAGGCCTGGCTGCCACCCCTTCTCCTGGGCTCTGCCCTGCTTCATCCATCATCACCTGCACGTCTGCTTTCTCTCGCAGAAATTAACGGAGCTCTCTCATCGGTAGGTGCCCTCTTTCTCTTTGCTCCCCTTTGCACTTCACAGCCAATGCCCCTGATGGCATGTTGTGGGTTGAATTGTGTCTTCCTAAAAGATGTTAAGGCTCCAACCAGCTCTACCTGTGAATGCGCCTTATTTGGAACTAAGGTCTTTACAGATGGAATCTAATTAAGATGCGGCCATTAAGGTGGGCCCTGGTTCAATATGACTGTTGTTCTTATAAGAAGAGGAGGCAAGTAGACAGACATGCATGAAGCAAGACCTCGTGGAGACACGGGGGAAGCCACAAGCCAGAGACCGCCAGCAAACGCCAGAAGCTGAAGCAGCAGAGAAGGATCCTCTCCAGAGCCAAAGAGAGAGCACAGCCCTGCCCGCACCTGATTCTGGACTTGTAACATCCAGATGAGGGTGAGGACGTGTTTCTATTGTTTTAAGCCAGCTTGTGGTACTTTATGACAGTGGTCACAGGAGACTAATGCTTGGTACTCTCGAGGGAGACTCAGGCTGGGTGTTGGGGCCCCTCCCCGCAGCATGAGAGGCTGTGTATGGAAAACCCTCTCACCTGCACATCCCAGGATGGCAATGGCAGCTCGTTGCACAGACCAGGAGACGCCAGCCAGTTCTGAGCTTCTTCTTTCAGCAGTTTCCAGCATTGCCCATCTCCACTGAATTTATTGGTTGGGTCAGTTGGATCCAAGATCATAGGCCTGTGTGTTCCATGAGATTACAAAGATCAGCTGAGCTGCTTGTGGGAGAAGAAATCAGTTTTGGGGAAGGAGGTCTCAGGGAGAGTCTGGTTTCTTGGTCTGAATTCCTGTAACTCTCCATGCTGCCAAGGGCCTTTGTCCACGACGTGTACCCCTCTGACCCTGCATTTTCTGCTTTACAGGGGTGCTCATTAATAAATTAACAAGGTCACCTCCTCTTCCTGCCACCCAGGTTCCTCTCTTAATCCCTTCTTTCTATAAGGGGTTGGGAATGTGAAAAGTGTCAGCCGACCTCCCCTCCTCCAAGCAGACCCCTCTGCCTCTCACTTCAGTGGCCACTGTTTTGTTGGGACACCACTGGCTAGGCAGGACAATACCAAGACCTCATTCCCAGGGGGCACCACCCAGTGTTCAGATGAAGGGGTGCATGAACAGGGTGTGGGGAGCTTGGCACCTTTCTGATCGGAGCTGTTTCAGCAGGATGTTGCGAACGGTCTCATCCTCAAAGTTGAAGTAGACCGTCCAGTAGATGCACAGCTGGTCCTTCTGCTCGATCAGCTCCAGAATGGTTCTGATGCCCTCAGAGATGTCAAAGTCTTCTTCTCCACATCCCTGTTCCCAGGCGTACACTGTGAGCAACTCAAGGGCATATGGAGGCAGCCAGGATAACTCGGGCCGTTTTCTCTGGCACTGTGAGAGAAGACAGAGTCAGCAGCGAATTTGGGGATCTGGTTTTTGCAAGTCTGAGGTCTGAAATAAAAAATCCAGAAGTCTACAGGAGGTCACTGTCCCCCACCAGAAGGCCTAAAGTCAGTGAACTGACAACACCAAGAGCTGGCGAAGATGTGGAGCACCTGAGACGGAGCAGGTCCCCGCTTAGGGGCCAGTGGGGCTCCCAAACATGGACATTGAAGAGAATACTGAGTTCCTTCAAGGGAAATTCCAGGCACTCTGCTTGTCTTCAAAAGTAAATGAGCAACTTGACAAGCAAAAAGATAATAATAACTTAAAACAATAGCCAAGGAAGTGAGAGTCAGGAGACGTGTTGTTCCCTATAGAAACTACAGATGGCAACTTAACATGTTGAGTTATTTCCAGAAATCCAGACTCCTGCCAAATGGATCTGCTGGTGCGTAGAACTCAGATAGGGGGAAGCAGAGGCCTGAACTCTGACCACCATTCTTTGCTTTAAATTTTGCCCCAAGGGACGTGGAGGAGATCATGCCCATGGCCAGAGCTCACAATCTCTTCTGCAGACTCCAAATTTTTAGACTCAGCTTCATCTCCTTAACCAACTGCAAATCAGAAATTATTTGAATCCATGTATGGCCTGTGACCCCTTAGAGATGTACCACCTTTTTGGTCAAGCTAATGTAGCCTCCAGGTGCTGATGTATGACTTTACCTGAGACTCTTCCTCCCATCTTTAAATGCCCATATCTGTGCACCAACTGAGAGATTAATTCTTAAGCTTGAGCTGCCCGATTCCCCTTGCTTGGAGTCCTCCAAAAAGTGCCTCACTTTCTCTCACTGCAAATTCCGATGTCCATGTTTGGCTTTGCTCAGCCTGGTGAGTGGATCTCAGTTTGGTTCAGTAGCACACTAAAGCACACACCTTGCTGATGGGAGTGTAATTTAGTATGAACATTTTGGAAAATGGTTTGATAATATTTACTATAGTTAAAACAAGTAACTCGCATATGTATATTTTATATATTTGTACATGTATACATACATGACACTTATCTTCATGTACTGCATAAATGATCCCAAAATCCCTCTAAAGTAGAATGGATAATGTGTGGTGTGTGAATACAATGGAATACTCCAAAACAATGAAAAACTAAAATCACATGCAACAACATGAATAAATATCTCAGACATATAAAGGAGAGACCCCCTGCAACAAAAACTGAATTATTTTTGGGAGGGCAGGCCCCTTGTAGTATAGGCGTCTTTCACTAAGAAAGTGTTCAGCAAAAATGGTACGATCTGCAACCCTACCTGCCTTATTCATCCAATCTCATGCTGAGCTACGTTTTTTTTTGAGTCAGAGTCTCACTCTGTCACCCAGGCTGGAGTGCAGTCTGGACTCAGATGATCCTTCCACCTCTGCCATCCAAGTAGCTGAAACTACAGGCGTGTGCCACCGCGCCCAGATAAAGAGCTTCTTTTTTGTGTGTCTCCAGATGAAAAAAGTTCTCAAAGGGAAACATTTTTGATATGGAAGAGATGAAACAAAACACGTAGAAGCACTAAAAAGCATCGCATTGACAAATTCAAAAACTGCTTTGAGCAGTGGAAGAAGCATCTCAATAGGTGTATTACATCAGAGTACTTTGAAGGTGACTGAAGTTTAAACACGTAAGAATAAATACACACTTTTTTATAAGTAAATTCTGTTTTGAGGGGGGAGGTCCCGCCTCGTAATATAGACAAGAGAAGGCAGACACTATTTGAGCCCATTTACATCGCTTAAAAATAAGCAAAACTAATCTGCAGTAACAGTTGTTAGAATAGGGGTATGTTCTGGGGGACTACTTTGGGGCAAGGGGCTTGGGAAACCTTCTGGGGTGCAGGAAACATTCTCTGTCTTGATATGGGTGTTGCTGATAAAGATATAAACAATGCATTGAGCTGCACACCTCAGATTGCTACACTTTACTGAAAGTCAGTTATCACAACTAAGAGAAGTTGAATGACAACGATATATACGCACAATTGGAACATTACCTGTTGATACCAGTGCTTTACCAAGAGGATCAAATCCTTCAGTTTTCTGGGGAGGCTACTAAAGAACTTCTGCTGGAGTTCAGTGAAGCAGACGGCAAACTCACCGGGGCTGGCTTTTGTCTTAATCAAGGACCTTTTGAGATCTCGGTAGACCTGGGGGCTGGGATTCTCACCAGGGCCTGATGTGAAAGAGTAACAGGAATTTGGGGATTTATGTAACTGGAAATTCCCAGAGAATTTCATAACCTGTTCTCAGAGACTCAGTGTTGCTCAACAACGAAGCTCAGCTTTTGACTGAGAACACATGGCCATTGTTTCACCTGTTAGAGGACTGGTGCTTATTTATATAAAATGTAATGGCAGGTTGGTTTGGTCAACCAGATAATAAAATTGGTCTAAAATGGCCATCATGATAAAGGTCTGATGTTTACCCAAGACAAGGTCAGAAAAATCAAAGGGAGGGGTGAGAAAAGTGATACTCCAAACTATTAAGAAAACAGTGGGTTTGAAGCAGGGTAGTTAGTGTAGGTTACACATAGATAGATAAATAGCCTACAGGCAGTTTTCAGTTTTTAGTAAGGAAGCATCCACACATCTTCATCTGCAGGCTGAAATGCCCTGAGGGCTGAAATGTGGATTCAATGTGGACTCCCAGTCAACCCCAACCCTTGTGCTCACCAAAGGATAACCCCATCAAGGTGGTTCCTGGCAGGAATCAAAAGCTATAGAAATATAAACCAGGCCATCTTTTAGCTCTTAGTTACAAGTCTCGCAAGTCAGTCTATGGAATACCAAATTCATGTTCTGGAAAAGCTTAGCCCCCTCATCTATCAGAGGCAGAGAGATAACAATTGTTCTATGACTCCTGTTCTCCTCTACCCTCTTTAGCACATCAATTACTATGAAAATACTCTACCTTTTAGTCAAAAGCAAAAGCTTGAGTTGTCTTTTTTGAGGGACTTGCTCATGCCAGTTTTCTTTCTGGCATAACCCTCTTTCTTTCCCTTTTGTACTTTTGCTAATAAGCCCATTTAAAAAACTTTGCTGGCCACTCTGAAATTCATTTCATTGTTGCAAAAAGGAGCCCATGAGTTTTAAGCCATACCCCACCTGACAACAGATTTTTCAAACAATTTGTGGCATTGGCACAGTTGGCATACACCTGGAAGGAAACAAAGTTGACATATCACATACAATCTATTTTGCTACTGAGTCCATCCAGTGAGTATTCTGTTTCAGAGCATCAGGGTACAGGGACTTTGAGAAGGCAGACAAAGAGGGAGCAGGACCCTGGAGGACTGGGGATTGAGGCCAGTTATATCAAGGGGTTCCCTTGCTTGCTAGCTGAACTTCACTGTTTATAAACACATTTAGATAAAAGAAACCAGGAGAAAGTAGCCAGCTTGTTCCTTTCATACATCTCCCCAACAGATATTTACTGACCCCCTATGCATGATTCTAGGCATGCATTGAATCCTCCTCTGTCATGATGATAATATAGCTAACATTTATTGAGTACTTATTTTATGCAAGGCATTGTTTAAGCCTTTTATGTAAAGTGAAACATAAGAGCCTCAAAAAAACTCTTAGGTGGCCAACACAATCACAACTGCTAATTTACAGATGAGGAAATGGAGACACCAGGAAATCAGGTAATCAGTTACTTCCCGCTTTGTGGCAAAGGCCCTGTAAGGAGTGTTAGTAGCATCCAGCAGTGGAAAGAAATGCAGAGTTAAAGAGAAACTGCCTGTTCCTCGTGTAACAAGTAGGCTAGATTAGTTAAGATAATGTTTAATTAAAAAAAAAGAAAAAAACAAAAACACAGACAATCAATGAATATTCCCACCCCTACCCATAGGTTACTTTTCTCAGAAAGCAGTCCTAAGTTTTCCTTGTAGAAAAGGGATCTTAGTTTGCAATGTGCAGCTCTACCACCATCCAGTGGTAGCTTCTGGTTACCACATATGAGGAAGAGTATATTTCTCATTCTTACACCATCCTTGCATGACAGGTTGAATCCAGTGGAGGTTGTTCTGACCTCATCTCCAATCACAGCATTTTGAACAAGAGTACACAGTATGTCCTATACAAATTCTGAGCCATATGTGTCTCTCCACCTAGACCCTAGTCCTTGTATGAGGCAGGCCCACACTCACAACCTTGATAGTCCCAATGGCATTGAAAGTTAGTCTCCAGTCTGACTGCACAGTTGGCAAGCATAGGTAAGTAGTGGGGCCAGGATAAGACTCAGGGTTGCTGACTTCTCAAACTAGTACATTTTTCTCAGAACCAGGGCTCCTTTCTGTGAATGACAGTCATTAGGGTGTGTGTATGTCTCCATCTTGTCAGACAATGGTTGGGCTAATTGCTCTTGTAACCCATAAATTCCTTAAAACTATAGGCAATGGAAGGTACCCCAGCCTGGACTTAGAAGACTTGAACTTTTGTTCTAGTTCTGTAAGTGACTGACTGGGTGGAATTCTTTCTTTCTGTGCTGGAGACCAGCTCCAGCTGGGTTCAGGGCATCCCAAAGGTGGAGACGGCGTTGTGATTGAGGGGAAGAAGAGAGAAAGAAAGAGTGAGAGAGAGAGAGAGAGAGAGAGAGAGAAAGAGACTGGACTCCAGTCTAGTGAAGAAGCGATGTGTGTTATTATTGGGAATTACAAGGGGTCTTTTATAGACAAAGTCAGATGTGGGAGGGGCATCCCCCACCCACCAGAAACCTTAATCCGTGAAAACTTAATCAATGATTGCCTTTAAACCCTTTTCATACAATAATCTTAAAATCCTATAACAAAGGATAACCTAATCTGTGACTGACATATTCTATAAACCTTTTTCATCCTAAGCTGATTGATTTATGGCAAGTTAAACAATTCTATAGAAGCTTAAGTATTTACTTTACAAATGAAAGTGGTCCATCCAGAATGTTTGGAATGTGGCCCAGTCCAAAGTTCACAGTGGACTACCTGCAAGTAACCCAGGTGCATTCTTTCAACAAAATGGCTGTCTTCTAAAACTGTATTCTACAATTTACACCTTCAATAAATCCTAAGATCATGACCCAGAAGCCTGTGACCAATACTAAGGCTCTTCGATGTGGCACGAGTTTGAATTATAAGTTGTATGAAAGCCAAAACTGCAGTTTGTGAAAGAATGGGAGCAATGAGCTTCTAAAGTTAGCTTGTGTTCATCCTGATCTCAGAGTTTCTATGTTTTGAGCTCACAGGAGCTTAATCTGGTTAGTGCTGAGTAGAAAGGGGGAGGAAATGGGGTCATTAGCTCCCGAACACATTCTAGTGGTCTTGGGGTCAGTGGCCCTTCCTGATCCCTGACACTCAGTGGGCCTCCGTGGCCGGCTCCCAACATCTCTGTTTCCTCATTTGTTTGGCGGGAGGTTGAATTTCAGCTCTGGAATTCTTTAAGTGTAATGATGTGTGTATCTGAGCTATCCATCCATCTACCCATCCTCCTTGCACCGATACATTTAAGGAACCATGAAACCATCCACTTTCATCCATTCATTTAACCATCGTGATTCATTCATCCATCCTACAACTATTATTGATAATGAACATTGAACTAGGGACTGGAAAAGAACAAGATACACATGGTACCTGTCTTCATGGACCTTTCAGTTTAGAAGAGGAGAAAGTTTAACAAATTATTTCCACAAATCTCCTGATCCAGAAAGCACAGATTTCTACTGGATCATGTAGGAGGTAGCTTTAACCCAGATATGAGGAACCAGAGGACATAAATGATGAGTTGGAGTTATCTAACAATGATAGATTGGGGGAAAGAACAGTATGGGCCAAAGTCTCAGATTGAAAAAGCATGGTGGGTTTGAGGAGGTCTGTGAAGGTCAGAGTGGCTGGTGCATAGAGAGTTAGATGGTAGTGAGTGGTTCGGCTAAAGTGGTAAGTAAATGTAGTGAAAAGCCATGAGATGGTTTAACACAAGGTATGCAAGAAAATCATACTTGTGCTTGAAAAAAGAGCATCCAGTTGCAGTGAGAGTGAGAAAGACAGCAGGGAGATAGTTAGGAGGCCATTGCCATATCCCTGATGGAGGCCTTGACTGGGGAAGTGACACTGGGGAGAGAAATGAAGCAGATTTAAGAGCAAGTGAGGCAGAACGGGCATGGATGAGGTGATGGGGAGTCAGAGATAAAACATTGGCTTAGGTGACAGACAGAAGACGTGGGAAGAGGGCAGGTCTTGGAGAAATAGGAGCTTGTTTTGAGGAACCCCTCAGCTCCAGTAGACAGTCATCTGTGAAAGGTTGTTGCCTTGATGGGAGCTGGTATGAAACAGGCTTCAAAAGCTTGTTCTAGCTGAACTTTCCCCAAATGTTTGCCTCATCCTCTTCCTCTAACCAACATTGACTCTAATTGAAACCCTCAGGTGTGGTCGGTGGACCATCATCATCATCATGGAGCTGGTTAGAAATACGGAATACTGCCCATACAGAGTAGCTCATGCTTATAATCCCAGCACTTTGGGAGGCTGAGGTGGAAGGACTGCTTGAGCCTAAGAGTTCAACACTAGCCTGGGTAACATAGCAAGACCCCCAGTTCTACAAAAAATAAAAATGCAAAATTGAGCCAGGCGTGATGGCTCACATTTGTAATCCCAGCATTTTGAGAGGCTGATGCAAGAGGATTGTTTGTGGACAGGAACTTTAAGACAAACCTGGGCAACAAAGTAAGATCTCTGGTCTCTACAAAAATAACAACAAAGGTGATAAAGAATCCTGGGCTCTGACTCAGACCTCCTGCATTTTCACAAGGTTCCAAGTGACTTATGTGCACATTAGTTTGAAAAGCCCTGCTTTAGATTCTCAAATCTAAGACATTTTCTCCAAAGTCTATCAGGATGTGGGGGAGAAGTTCCAGAGGTGAGAGTGAGCCCAGGATAGGGGAATTCTTCTTCCCTGAGGGCCCATGGTCTCTCATTTTGGAAAGTGCCAGTGTTATCAATCCCACCCACAGCCAAGAGGAACCACATAGCTATCTGCTACCCCCTCCTTTGGCTTTTCTTCACCCGCTCAGAGGTGCTTACCTAGAGCTTTGAAGGCGGTCAGCATCTGGAAGGAGATTCTCTGATGTTTTGTGAACAACCGGATAGCAAGCACACCTTGGGTCTCCTGGATCCACATCTTGTCTTGCAGCTTCATTGTGTTTAGATGGGACTCCAGCTTTTCACCAATCTTGTTGAGGTATTTATGTTGGCTTTCCTTCTGATCCCGGAAATGTTTGAAGTCACTGAGGAAGAGGACGAGGGTACCACCAGAGATGCCTCTCAAGACTGTTTCCCGGCCATAGGAGCCACCCTGCCGGAGACAGAGGATTAGCTGTGAGACTCTAGACTCCCTGGGGGGGGGTCACAGGCAGAGGTATTTTTCAACTCAAGGGAAAGCCAAAAAGGTCACCATGGTCTAAAAATTGGGTGGAAGACATCCATCTGTCTACCCACACACCTGACTGGGATGCCCACAGTGCATCCCAAAGCGGTTTAATGCTAACCCAAAGCGGAGACAACTCAAATGGCCATTGACAATAGAATGGGATTGATACCACTTGCTACTGCTGGTGTCTGAGCACACTGTCCAGGGCCTTAAGATAGAATTACCTTGCCTGCCATTGCTGCCAGTGCCTGCATATGTCATCTGGGGTCCGGGAGATCAACCTGCCTTACCTGTTGCCAGCACATGTATGCACCATCGGGGTGTCTGAGGAAAGACTCACCCTACCTGCCACCAGCACCCACATGTGCTGTCTGGGGACCTGAGATGGGTCCCTTCTGCCTTCAGCCACCAGCACATGCATGTGCCGTCCATGGATAAGCCTACCCCACCTGTGCTGACACCTGCACATACCTCCTGAGGGCTTGTGAACTGGCCTGTCCATCATATCATTTGTGATGCCTGTGCACACTGAAGGCCTGAGGGTTGGCTTACCAATGCCACTGCCAATGTCACTGCTACCACCAATGCCATACACACTAGCCTACTGCTTCCTGTACTGGTGCATGCCACCTTGAGGTCTTAGACCTGGCCTGCCTTCCTGCTGGCACTAGTGTCCTGTATACCACCGGGGGGCCTGAGGACAAGCATGGCGAGCACACTGCTGTTACACTGGTGCGCAAGAACCAGCCTGCCTGTTGTCCTTGTCCCCAGCAAAGCCTCACCATAGTCTCCACTAACAATCATAGCCTAAGTCACTGAGGAATTCACAGATACCACTCATGTTGACACAGTGAAAACATCATACAGAGACTATACTACTGTGCCTACCCATAATCAAAGCCAAAGCACCTATACAGCCAATACAATCAGTACATCCACAAGAAAAAGTCTCCAAAAAGTATTTTGTTTATTAAGAGAAAAGTCACTCTGTCACTCAGGTTGGTGTGCAGTGGTGCAATCATAGCTTACTGTAACTATAAACTCCTGTGTGCAAGTGATCTTCCTGCCTCAGCCTCATGAGTAGCTAGGACTGCAAGTGTATGCCACCACGCCTGGTTAATTTTTTACACATTTCTTTTAGAGATAAAGTCTCACTGTGTTGCCCAGGCTGGTCTCAAATTCATGACCTCAAGTGATTTTCCTGCCTCAGGAAGCAAATATGACACTTCCAAAAAAACACAACAATTCTCTAGTAACAGATCCAAAAGAAAGGAAATCTATGAAATGCCTGAGAAAAATTCAAAATGATGTTAAAGAAACTTAGTGAGATACAAGAGAACACAAATAAATAATACAAAGAAATCAGAAAACAATTCATGATCTGATGAGAAATTCAACAAAGATAGATATTATAAAAACAAAGCAGAGCAGAAATCCTAAAACCAAAGAATCCAATGAATAAAAAAAATAAAACCAAGACCTTTAGCAATAGACTAGATTAAGCAGAAGAAGGCATTTCTAGACTTGAAAACAAATATTTTGAAATAACCCAGTCAGATAAAAAAAAAAAGAAAAATAAATGAAGAAATCCTATGAAGCCTATACAACATATAGGCCTTAATAAAGCAATCACATATTTAAATTTTGGGAGTTTCAAAAGAGAAGAGATTGGCAAAGACATAGAAACTGTATGTGATAAAATAATAGATGAAAATTTTCCAAGTCTTGCAAGAGATATAGACATCCAGATACAAAATGCTCAAAGATTCTCAAATAGATTAAGCCCTCACAGTTCTTCTCCAAGGCACATTATGGTCAAACTATCAAAAGTCAAAGACAGAGAATTCTGAAAATGGCAAGAGAAAAGCATTAAGTCACATATAAGGAAATCTTCATTAGATTAACAGTGTATTTCTCAGCAGAGACCTTGCAGGCCAAGAGAGAAATATTCAAAGAACTGAAAGAAAAAAAAAAAATCAAAAAAACAAAAATAGTGCTCTTTCAGGCAAGACTACTCCTATATCTAGTAGAGCTATCCTTCAAAAATGAAGAAGAAATAAAATCTTTCTGAGACAAGAAAAACTGAAGGAATTTATCACCACTAAACTGGCCCTATAAGAAAGGTTTAATAGAGTATTCCATCTGGAAGCAAAAGGATGATATCTATCATTAATAAAGCTCACTGGTAGAGCAGATACACAGAAAGAGAAAGGAGTTAAGCATAATCACTAAACATAACAAAACAAAACCAAAAACTCCTTCAAATTACAAACAGTAAAAGAGGAAGAAAGGAACAAAGCTATTCAAAACAGTCAGAAAACAAACATAATGACAGAAATCCTCACCTATCAACAGCAACCTTGAATTAAATAATGGATTAAATTCTCCAGTTAAAAGGTATAGACTAGCTGAATGGATTAAAACTAAGATCTGACTATGCTGACTACAAGAAATTCACTTTGCCTGTAAACACACACATAGACTGAAAGTGAAATGATGGGAAAAAACAATCCCATGCAAATAGAAACCAAAAAGGTGTGCAGGAGGTGCTATGCTCATATCAGACAAAATATAGTCTTTAAGCCAAAAACATAAAAAGACACAAAGAAGATCATTTTTATAATGATAAAGGGATCAATTCAGCAACAGGATATAACAACTATATATATATATATCTCCCCCTAATATCAGAGCACTAGGATATATAAAGCAAATATTATTAGAGCTAAAGAGAGAGAAAGACCCCCAATGCAATAATAGTTGGGAATTTAGATACCCTACTTACAGACCATCTATATAGAAAATCAATAAACATTGAACTTTGTGGTACATTATTAGGTTGTTTAAAATATTTCTACTTTTTTGATGCAGACATTTATTACTTTAAGTTTTGCTGTATACCTTAAGTTTTGGTATGTTGTGTTTCATTTTCATTTAAGAAATTTTAAAATTTCTCCACTGAATCCATAGTCCAAATGGACCTAACAAACATTTACAGAATATTTCTTTCAATAGCTGTGGAATACACATTCTTCTCATCAGCACATAGACTGTTTTCTAAGATAGACCTGTTAGGCCACAAAACATATCTCAATAAATTTTTAAAAGTCAAAATCTTATAAAGTATCTTTTCAGAACTCAATGGAATAAAATTAGAAACATTGAAAACTGTAAAAACACATGGATATTTAAAAACATGTTCCTGAACAACCACTCATTCAACGAAGAGAGTTAGAAGGAAATAAAAAGTTTCCAAAACAAATGAAAATAAAAACACAACACACCAAAACCAGAGGGATACAGCAAATTAGAAGTAGTAAATGCCTACATCAAAAAGTAGAAAGATTTTAAATGAACAACCTATTGATGTCCCTCAAGGAACTAGAAAGCAAGAACAAACCAAACCCAAAATTAGTGGAAAGAGATCAATTATAAGAAGCAGAATTATTTAAAAAAAAAATTGCGACTAAAAAATACAAAGAATCACTGAAATGAAAATTTAGTGTTTTGAAAAAAATAAAACCAATAAACTGCTAGGTAGATTAACGAAGAAAAAAAGAGAAAACCCAAATAAATAAAATCAGGAGTGAAAAAGGAGACATTACAACTGACACCACAGAAATACAAAAGATCATTAGAGACTATTATGAACAACTATATGCTAACAAATTGGAAAATCTAGAGTAAATGATAAATTCCTGACATATAATACCTACTAAGATTGAACTAGGAAGAAATAGGAAACCTGAACAAACCAATAATGAGTAGCAAGAGTGAATCAGTAATAAAAAGTACCCCACCAAAGAAAATCCCTGGACTAGATGGCTTTCCTGATGAATTTCACCAAACTTATACAGAAGAAACAGCACTAACTCTTCTCAAACTATTACCAAAAAAATGATGAGCCTAACTCATCCTAACTCATTTTATTAGGCCAGCATTACCATGACACCAAAAACAGGCAAGGAAACAACAAAAAAGTAAACTACAAGCCAGTATGCCTGATAAACATAAATGCAAAAATCTCCAACAAAATACTAGCATACTAAATCTAACAACACATAAAAAAGTTGATGATACCACATGATTAAGTGGGATTTATTTTTTTATCAATATTTTTTATTATGATATTGTGGGGTACAGTTAAGGGTTAGGTATACAAATATGCTTTGTTCAGGCACCCTTGTTGATAAGAGGTGTCTCCCCATCCCTAGATATTTACTACCATTAATCCCATTTCCCTCCCCCCCCATAGTTTCCCACCACTGTCAGTCATTTTCTTATAGTATTACAATGGATGTTCAAGGTCCACTATAGGAGTGAGAACATGTGATGCTCAGATCTTTGTTTCTGTGAGAGATCACTCAGTATTATAGACTCTAGTTCCATCCAGGTTGCTGCAAAATTCACGATATTGTTCTTTTTTATGGCTGCGTAGTATTCCATCATGTATATGTACCACATTTTTTTAATCTAGTCCTCTTTTGATGGACAGCATGGTTGCTTCCAGGTTCTTGCTATCGTGAACAATGCTGTGATAAATATACGTGTGCAGGTATCTTTTTTATAAAGTGATTTGAGTTCTTCAGGGTATATTGCCAGTAGGGGGATTGCGGGGTCATACGGGAGGATAATATTTAGAGCTTTTACAAATCGCCATACTGTTTTTCACAGAGGTTGCACTAGTTTGCACTCCCACCAACAGTGTAGAAGTGTTCCCTTTTCACCACACACTCTCCAGCAACTGTTATTTTTTGTTATTGATAATTGCCATTCTGACTGGAGTTAGGTGGTATCTCAGTGTGGTTTTGATTTGCATCTCCCTGATGATTAGTGAGGTTGAACATTTTTTCATGTGTCTGTTGGCTGCTCAGATGTCTTCCTTTGAGAAGTGTCTGTTAATATCTTTTGCCCATTTTATAATG